CCCCCCACTAGTGTTCTATTTGCGATTGATGCTAACTAGCAGCAGGCTTGAAAAAATTGGAAAAAACCTGTGTTAAAGTAATTCCGGCTTTATTATCAGGCGGTGGGCTACAGATACCTTTGTGATTTATCAACACGAAATAGCGTTAGTTATTTATTTAAATTTGTTGTTACGGTTTCTGCCGCTAAAATTATTGACGACGAAACTTTCACACAGCTATCATACCTATTGATTGCATAGGGAGGAAAACTAGGTAACTTCTTCTTTAGGGCCTTTATTCACTCATTTGAGAACGCGTTTCCGTCACGGACAGATGCTGCGTCTACTGGATGTCGCGCGAATGAGGAAGATCGTTGAAGATTAGTTGTAAGCACCTACCATTCACCCGTTAGCCAGTCTTTCTCTATTGTAAAAGGGCCTAGCTTTTGTTACTGGAGCTGAGGTCATCAGCGAAGCGTTCATTCAAGGTTTTCTTGGCAATCATCGGCAATCAAGCTGCTTGTGGCGGGCCGCAGTTCTCTGATCAGATCGCAGAACTTCGCTGTTGCGTGTAATGGAAGAATAAAAGAAGATTCATTTCCTCGCGATAAACGGGACTTATTTCCAAATACCCCCAATTCAATGTTTTAGCTTTACTCTCAAGCACATTGTGGAGCAATACGATTCGTTGGAAATGTCATATCACGCGAAAGTTCATGCTTTAAATACGCTTCCAGATAACAGAACAGTCTGTCTGGCACATCTGTATCAACCGCTGCCTTTGCTGCTATAACGGCCTTAATTGCTATTCTCCTCCATGCTAGCCGATGATAAGTGACGAACAATGTGCTGCATTAAGGATCTATATATGGAATAGGATAGCAGCATTCCGTGAGGTATTGATGCGCTCTGCGGCCGCAAGAGGTGACCATAATACAAGAGTCGTGAGTAGCTTCTACTAGTGCAGACTGATCCCTGTGTGGTGGCATCGGCCGTCAGCAGTTGACGTCGGCCAGTCTCACAGTAGTCCTGTCGTTGCATTGCGGCCCACAACACGTCGCAGTTTATATAGTAAGATAATGTTACACTACCTTCTCTCGAATTAAAGAGGTGCCTAAAAGTAAGAACAAAAATTAGCGTGACCTGATTTGCTGCCCCATTTATCATGCTGCAGTTTGTGTTCTGCGTAAAGGAAATCTTGCGATGGGAAATAATCCACCCGTGTAATATTATTCGTTGTCCGGACTGATTTGGCGCAAAGATGCATTTGTTGTCCCGATTGAACAATTGTGAGGTGCGATGGACCAATGGGACTACACAGTCTTGCAGCTAGGTCTGATATTGATTAATCTGCACCATGCCCACCTTATCAATACAATGAATTGTGAATATATGACAATAAAACTTGACTCCAGCGGTTATTTAAACACGAATATGTTGTTTATATCAAACATATACTAACATACTTCATAATGCTATTACGATACTTAATGTGGTAGTGCTCCGAAAACAAGAAGTAGAGAGAAGAAACATATGCAGGTAACCGAAATTTAAAATTCAAACAGTAGAAGTTTATTCTTAAAATTTAAAAAATTCTTTCCTTCGGCGGTCCGTCAGTTGAACTAGCTATCTTCTCTTTCACATATGGCATTTGGCCTGTCTTCATATAATGATGTATATATTTACATATGTATACTCACAATGTAGCACAAGCCAGAAAAATATTAGTAGCGGCCATATCTAGACAGACACGCGCGCAGTCACTTTTGCCAACATTTACACAGGTTTACGCGGACAAGCGATATTCCTTGATTTGTTTTAATTGTTCTAGTTTCCGTCGTTAGCAACATACTGGTAACTTTAAATATAGGATAATAATATTAAGTAGATATCGGTGAAATCTGTCGAATGTTACTATTATTGCAAGGCCGTCGACAGAGCGACTGCCCCCCAGAATAATTCTTCAGGCATATGATAAGCTCGAACCCGTTTATTTGTGGTCACTGCCAGTCGTTATAGTTTAACCTAACCCGACAGATTTAAAATTTTGTTGCTCTTCCTGAATTTCTTGTAGCCTACACTAATCCGCCTATTAAGCTCTGTAGGCCGTAGATAGCTAATATTATCGTGAGTTGATCAAAAGCCAAAATGTACAACCTTACTGCATATACTTCGTTTTTGAGCAAAAAGGCAAAAACATTAAAACTTTCGACAAGCTTTATCCCCCCCCCCCCCCCTTTTAAAATGTAAAAAGGATTTAAACTAATTACTAATAGTATTTTGGTTAAAATTTTCTTGAATTAAAACTTTCCCCCCCCCCCCCCCCACTAGTGTTCTATTTGCGATTGATGCTAACTAGCAGCAGGCTTGAAAAAATTGGAAAAAACCTGTGTTAAAGTAATTCCGGCTTTATTATCAGGCGGTGGGCTACAGATACCTTTGTGATTTATCAACACGAAATAGCGTTAGTTATTTATTTAAATTTGTTGTTACGGTTTCTGCCGCTAAAATTATTGACGACGAAACTTTCACACAGCTATCATACCTATTGATTGCATAGGGAGGAAAACTAGGTAACTTCTTCTTTAGGGCCTTTATTCACTCATTTGAGAACGCGTTTCCGTCACGGACAGATGCTGCGTCTACTGGATGTCGCGCGAATGAGGAAGATCGTTGAAGATTAGTTGTAAGCACCTACCATTCACCCGTTAGCCAGTCTTTCTCTATTGTAAAAGGGCCTAGCTTTTGTTACTGGAGCTGAGGTCATCAGCGAAGCGTTCATTCAAGGTTTTCTTGGCAATCATCGGCAATCAAGCTGCTTGTGGCGGGCCGCAGTTCTCTGATCAGATCGCAGAACTTCGCTGTTGCGTGTAATGGAAGAATAAAAGAAGATTCATTTCCTCGCGATAAACGGGACTTATTTCCAAATACCCCCAATTCAATGTTTTAGCTTTACTCTCAAGCACATTGTGGAGCAATACGATTCGTTGGAAATGTCATATCACGCGAAAGTTCATGCTTTAAATACGCTTCCAGATAACAGAACAGTCTGTCTGGCACATCTGTATCAACCGCTGCCTTTGCTGCTATAACGGCCTTAATTGCTATTCTCCTCCATGCTAGCCGATGATAAGTGACGAACAATGTGCTGCATTAAGGATCTATATATGGAATAGGATAGCAGCATTCCGTGAGGTATTGATGCGCTCTGCGGCCGCAAGAGGTGACCATAATACAAGAGTCGTGAGTAGCTTCTACTAGTGCAGACTGATCCCTGTGTGGTGGCATCGGCCGTCAGCAGTTGACGTCGGCCAGTCTCACAGTAGTCCTGTCGTTGCATTGCGGCCCACAACACGTCGCAGTTTATATAGTAAGATAATGTTACACTACCTTCTCTCGAATTAAAGAGGTGCCTAAAAGTAAGAACAAAAATTAGCGTGACCTGATTTGCTGCCCCATTTATCATGCTGCAGTTTGTGTTCTGCGTAAAGGAAATCTTGCGATGGGAAATAATCCACCCGTGTAATATTATTCGTTGTCCGGACTGATTTGGCGCAAAGATGCATTTGTTGTCCCGATTGAACAATTGTGAGGTGCGATGGACCAATGGGACTACACAGTCTTGCAGCTAGGTCTGATATTGATTAATCTGCACCATGCCCACCTTATCAATACAATGAATTGTGAATATATGACAATAAAACTTGACTCCAGCGGTTATTTAAACACGAATATGTTGTTTATATCAAACATATACTAACATACTTCATAATGCTATTACGATACTTAATGTGGTAGTGCTCCGAAAACAAGAAGTAGAGAGAAGAAACATATGCAGGTAACCGAAATTTAAAATTCAAACAGTAGAAGTTTATTCTTAAAATTTAAAAAATTCTTTCCTTCGGCGGTCCGTCAGTTGAACTAGCTATCTTCTCTTTCACATATGGCATTTGGCCTGTCTTCATATAATGATGTATATATTTACATATGTATACTCACAATGTAGCACAAGCCAGAAAAATATTAGTAGCGGCCATATCTAGACAGACACGCGCGCAGTCACTTTTGCCAACATTTACACAGGTTTACGCGGACAAGCGATATTCCTTGATTTGTTTTAATTGTTCTAGTTTCCGTCGTTAGCAACATACTGGTAACTTTAAATATAGGATAATAATATTAAGTAGATATCGGTGAAATCTGTCGAATGTTACTATTATTGCAAGGCCGTCGACAGAGCGACTGCCCCCCAGAATAATTCTTCAGGCATATGCATTTCAACAATACCGTTATTTTGTTTGCCCGCCAGCTGATAATGCACCGATAACAGGACGTGGATGGCTGTTTTTTGGCTTCACTTATTTTCATGTAGAGTCTCTTAGAGGTCTTGGTGTTCGCATGGGTAAGGTATTGGCGATTGATAATGGTGTACGTCGCTACCATTTCGTTGCCGTCATGTTGTTAGAATGGCTGTATAATTCGACATTCACCATTTCGGTATGAACTACAGATAACAATACTAAACTACTAGGAGAGGTCAGGCTTTGTCGACCTCAGCAGCTGAACGTTATGAGCCACAGACTTCCTAACTGCCTCTTGCAGGAGTGTTTCCTTGTCTTCGGCGAGTTCCTTACCACCGAACCTGTTGCCGCTGCTGCCATGCCCTTTGGGTTTATTAACAACGGGGTTTTGCGAGTAGAGATACGTCGCTATAGACACAACCGTGATGGCCATAATCGTTGGTATTTCTATTGGTATTGAAAAGATGATCCAACAGAGTACCGCTGTAATCGAGAGGTCCAATGCGCCGGCGAACGTCTTCAAGATCGAGTTGAGGCTTCGTAGGAATACCGACACGATTATGCCACAAACTGATCCGTTAACCATAACTGCTATGATCAAAGGCTGACTAAAGATATTAGCTAGCATGGTTGCATTTGCTAATTCATCTGTTTGACCATGTAAGATGAGAAACGCCAGATTGCATACGATCGAATCGATATACATGAATATATTGTGCACCATGATATGGAGGTCGGCACCCGTATCCTTAAGCAGAAACTCGTTGTACACGCCCGCAAGACACGAACACAGCATTTGAAACAGAAGAAGCAGTATGCTCCACGAAAAAAATGCTGACAGTATACCGCCGTTGTATGTCGGTTCCGAATGGTGACCGTGGCTAATTCCAGCGCTACTGCTCCCGCTCCCGGAAGCGTCCGCGCTCGCAGCAAACTCTGGCGTACGCACGCTAAATTGTTTTATTACACACCCAATGGTGAGCAGGCACAACGAGAACCACTGCTGGCCGGACAAGCGCCGTTTAAACAGAATCTGGAACACTAAACCGGTGATGACGACACGAAACTGCATAAGCAGATTGTACGTCGTCGGATCGAATGTCTGCAAGTTACGGAAGGCCAAATTGTTGTAGAAACAGTAAAGGAGCGCTGGCACAAAGTACAGCAACAAGACCCGTCGATACTCAAAGATCTCGCTTACGAGCGTCGAAAAATTGTGATCTTTGAGATAGAGAGCGGTTGATAGTATTAGTTTGAGCAGTTCCGTCAGCATAACGACACATGTGACATTGTACGAATAGAAATTGTTTGTTTGAGACGCCTTCACAAGAATTGACTGGGCGATGAAAAACACGATATAACTAACAAATATTAGGGCTGACAATCGAGTGGGGAAAAACTCCCCTAGGAACTTCTTGTCCATTGACATCTTGACTAGAAGAGTAGGCACGTGCTATGTTGAATCAACGGTTGTCATCCGGGTTGACGTTCCCAGAAAGACCAGCAGCGGTGCCGACAGTAATGGGAGTTGATTCAATATCTACCGAAAATTGCGAACATCCGACGGCTTCAGATAGGTTTCCGTAGAGTGTGTTGGTGTCGTTGTTGTAATTTGCGCTTTTATCGTTTTGTTGGCAACGACCGTTTGTACTCTCCTGAGCAAACGGACCGCGCCGCTTAAAATTCGAAGAGCCGCTGGATAGCGGAAGTGGCGGTGAGCGACGCGCACTCCATAAGCGCCTGTAGATAGATGGGTGCGTGTATTATGTCGATATGGCTCGTGTCAGACGCCAGTGGTGTACAAGATCGTAGTTTACACTGGAGCCGTTATAGCAACAAAGGTATAAACTGTATAAACAGTAACTGTTTAGTAGCGGTTATGAAAATACACCGCGGCCGTATGAAGAAGAGTGCAATAGTTAACAATACTCGATACTAGAAACAGCAAAGAGAGCCATTGTAAAAAAGAACGGCATGCTAACCAGGTAGTACGCATTCTCATGACGTTTTATTGTCAATCGTCGTCGATGATCAACCAACTGCCTGCTTCGTAATGGGAACAGAAGACGATGGTCGGAATCACTGTAGCACTGTTGTCGTTTGTCCAGCACTGGCCTCGACCGCCACGTCCACGTTGCTAAGCAGCACGAGCTGACAAGAGTCGTCTAACGTCACAGTTGCCACTAGTACAATAGGTAGCACTACTACACGAACTACTACTAGCACGAACAGAAGTGATTCTAGTTATAATAGCAGCTCTCCTACCACCTAGGAGTCCCATCATTTGACTTCCCATTTATATACATATGTGTTAATATATCGATATTCAAGCCTTTCCGTCTCAGTCCATTGATTGTCGGTACCACATTACTGTTTTTATAGTGGCGTCTTTACTCACAACACTTAATCCGAGTATGACAGTTGCATCACACAAACGCTTACATCCTGACACACGAAAACGAATCTACGAGCTATTCTTTTAATGGTGTTGATGGAGTGCAGAACACACAATAAAAATGTGCCGTAATTACTTTTCTTATTTATATAGCAGTAGCACTACGCCGATGAAAGACAACATACAGTGGCGATTGATTCGTCGCAAAACATTCGACAAAGCCTCAAAAGTTACAGACAAGCCGTGGTTTTTGTCAACTATTTAGCCTCACCGCCACAACTACCATCGTCAGCTCTCGCTGTTTACTCGCAGATTGTTCTGCTACTGTCGATATGGCGAATGCCACTTGGCGCGTTGCCATGGCAACGCCAACGAGCTGCCCTCTCTGCTGGCCTCTAGGGAGAAGGGCGAAACTCGACTGCTTTGAACGGATGGCGGGAATCCGCCAACGCATCGTGCAAGCGTTTTCGATCCTGACTGGAGCGAAGCTAGCGCCGAACGGTAAAAGTAATACTGAGGTCCGGGTGCGTTCGCGCGACACCAGCTCATTGGATGAGAACAGATTTGGCTGAGAGGTGACACCAAAAATAAGGGCCGGGCCAGGGTTAGTTGTTGATGATCATGTACTTGTTCGGTAGATCCCCTTGCTACAAGTCGTTGATATAACTTAGTTTTTATTGTTCTGAGAGAAACTTGAGAATCATTATACAGTAAAATATCGTGATAGATTCATCAAAGTCATGTGGCACAGTCATATATAAAAGGGTTTACATTGCGCACCTTACGCGATCGGTCAGATTTTATGACAGAAAGCAGTATTTCGTGGAGACAATCACATAAGCGAAAACACAATAGCTATGCAAATCCGATAGATCATGTATCGCCTACTTGACTTTTGATAAGGCTTAACTTATTTCTAAAACCATGAAAGAACTTCAAAATCACGATTTTCATGACCATCACCACCGGCGTTACCAATTTAGTGTATGCCATATATTACAAGTTAGATTTCATTTTATGATTCGATTTGTATACATCGACAAGTTCATTTATTAAAAGTTTACATGGTAATTTCATTTGCTGTACTTTTGTGACACGAAGTTGTTGAATACGTTCTCTTCTCATGTATTTATTATTGTTGTTGTTTCTTATCCTACTCAGCTGTGGGATTCACCTAAGGTACAAGCTTGTCTGAAGGGGAAGAAACAGTCGACGATGATGATGAAGATAATTTATCACAGAATAGCATTGGTGCTGCTTTCTCGCGGCTCTAGGAGCTGTTTTTTTAATGGGGCAGATTTTTTTTACCTAGAAATATCCTTTCTCCCCATCTCTCGGCGCGAGCGCCTGCACGAGATACCATCGATGCTTAGGTACCATACATAACATACACGCTAGTGGGCACACCGAAGCGAATACCAGGTATCTCGCAGCGCTATAATCAAGCGAGTGCTGTTGCTCTTTTGGAAGCGGTTTCAAATGAAGGCCCGTAGAGCGACTTCTCATTTGCTGGCTGCAATAAAACCACCAGCCATTTACTCCTCCTCGAATAATATCAATATCCATTAGACTGTTCCGTTAAATGGTAGGCGCCGCTTACGTATGCTTGCCACGATCACACTTGACGAACGATCCTTATTTCGATATATGTATATATGTATATATATATATATATATATATATATATATATATATATATATATATATTTGCACGACTATATAAGCCGATTAACAGATAAGTAAAATAAGGAAATTATTTTTTGAAGCTCTTTGACGGCGTCCACCAAACGTAATTGCGAATGTTTACTGATGTAGTATCACTGTCTCCAGAATTAAGACAGGTATCTCTTTTAGGAACATATATATCTGTATCTTAGTTACGAATTCAAATAAGACAAAGCACCTAGGCGTTGCGTTAATGCAAGTTTTTTTACTGTTTATTAAGAACAAGATCCCTCTCCTCAATAGGAGTCATCGTTACAAGTTAGCCCTCTTTAGACCGTCTACATATTACATAATTTACCAATAGACGAAAATTCATTTCCAACGTTAATGCAGTACAGAAAAAGCAGAAAATTGTTTATCGTTCAATTGTTATGTGCTGTGTATGTGTGTGTGTGTGTGTGTTTCTGTCTCCAGTAACCTCGTGGGTATTCACAGCTTCGCAAGTATTGTCGCAGTTGAGGCTACCGCTCTTCCTTCACGTATAATATAAATTTCCGTGGTAACACCATCATCTATAGCATCGTGTCGTTTTTTTGTGTCTTGATATCGAAGAATATAGGCGAGTTAATATTGCTGCAGTTATCGTCAACATATTGTGATTGCCGATGTTACAATTAACCGGAAAAAGAAGGCAGTTATGACCACTGCTGGTGTCACCGCTGATGTAACCGAAGTGAAGATGCGCTATTTGACATCTTCTTTCGTTTAGCGTCGGTCTACACGCAGCTCTTCGTGCATAATTCGTTCGTTTGCCAAAAACAGATTCGTCTATGCTGACCTTTAAGTGAAGAAAGGATTCATCACTGAGGTCCATCGACGTCCTCCTCGTCGTCGTGATCAGTATTAGCCAATCGAATATGAACGATAATTTAAAGGCCACCACAAACTGCATACAGGCAGCCAGGAAGACATTTAGATTGGCAGCCTTCATTGGTGCTATTGAAATGCGGGCTCCTCAATAACGTGAACTTCACTTCCATACATATGTATAATAACGGATGGCTCTGCTGCCATATGATGCTAACATATTATTATGACTATAATTCCTACGATGACGATGATGAAGATTACGAATGAACGATGGACCGAACGACTGACTCAATGATTGTAACGTCCGAAGGAAAAAGATACGCGCCAGCGAAGAGAATTCGTAGCTTTGGAACTGTGTACGGCGACGTTGTTACCCTAGCTAAAATTTACGTGGTGACTGACATATGGTGGTATTGACTTGGACGAATAAGAATAGAAACATAAGCTGACAGGCAGCACCGAAATAAAAAAATTGGTTTGATTTTTGAAGGGTATGGTGATATGTGGCTCATACATCATTTTCTTGCCATTATCATAATAATAATTATTAGACGTAAGGTAGTTAATGTGACCCAATGATAATTGTCGTATAGCAGTGAATAATGATGATACAAGTCGATTCGGAATGAAGAACTTCAGAAAATTGAACCGTTACTGTATCAGCGTTACAATCGAATGGTTAGAGTGCTAATGCAGTAATGAAAACGTTTGAAGATTATAGCATGGTTGTGATGATGGTGTGTATCTTCGCTTGCCGGTAAATCTGCAATGTAATTGCAGATACAAGCAGGATGCCGCAATGTTATCGATCGGATAGAAAGAGAAAGAGTACAGAGCTGTGATGATCATTATTGTCATCATTGAAAAGAATGACGGCTTCAGGTGTCTCGTAACATCACCCCTCGTCATCGTCATCATCATCATGTATATGGTTATAGAACCACATACATAACGGCTTTCGAATCACGTTGATGGTACCACGAGCACCAGGAAGGATAAAATCGCAGAAAAAAGCGTCTACAGCTTCGTGATAGCATAAAAACGCGATTAGATTCCCATAGAAAAACGCAGGGTTTCTAAATCGGTTACTTAACCGGAGGAGACCTAAACACCAGTGATAGTATGGCTATCACATTTAGAAGAAGCCGCCAATGTGAGCCGTCGTTAGATCCATCAACTCGACAATTGAGGACGATATCTTGCGAAATTCTCAATTGATATCCGAATTTTATTATAGCAAATTTGAAAAATAAACAGTAAAACATTTAAAAGTCGAATCATGGTAGGGATGATTTTTTTTCCATATTTTTTTTTGTCAAATATGGACTAAGTCCGCAGTGTAAATCTAAATATTCTACGTTTGCTTGCACGATGCACGTGCTTAGGAAGTAATAAGCTGGTATGTACATCTCTTCTAGCTGGTTGGTGACACTGGTTTGTCCTTCTTGAGCTTGTGTTTTTGATTATTCTATATTGCTAGATACCATCGTATATACAGTACGTCGTGTCGCTACTTGTCGTAATATGTCCATTGGTTTTCTTCCAAAAATAGGCCTACAAATGCACTGTCAGTTATGTAGATAGGGTGAAATCAGGGTCAACAAATGCAAATTACAACGCTGTCTCTTGCTTTAGTTTTATGAACTTCTGAGCAAAAATAATTGCGTAACTTTCCTTATAGTTAACTAGTTACATATGCTTACTTCAAATGAATTTTTATGAATATCCCAAGTGGGCGGTTATCTTTAATCTTAGATATATATATAAGAATTTATTAGGGTGCAAGTGTAGTTTACGTGTACACGAAAAACAATATACATCGTTTACAGTACAATAACGTTGGCGGGAATTTATTGGAGTCGCTCTCTCGTATGCTTCCTCACGGTTCTGTTGGCCTAGTATAGACAATGTAGACTATTTGTTTATATTTAATTAGAACCGGCACTTCCTATATACGTTTAAAATTACTGCCTAATATATACCTGTGGGTTTATAATATGTCGTCTAATATATTTATATATACATGAGAATACAAAGCGGTTTCTATTCAAGTTTAAA